AAGACAATTATACAGAAATACTTTGACGACAGACTTTGCTCAGGGATTTCAGAATGACCAGAACATTTCAGATGCTGAGTGTAAACGGTGAGAGATGTAGAGGCAGGTGAAGAGCGTTTGGTTAATGGGGAATATTAACCTATTGTGCGTCCTGTTGCCGAGCCCCGCCTTGATGTAATGATTGACAGGTCGGGGGCGTGATCGGCTTGGACTGCATTTTCAAATCCACATTGACTAGTCTACACTGATCGCAGGGTATTTAATGAAAGTGCAATTGAAACCTCTTAAGTGTAAGTGTCAATGCATTTATTCAAAATAAAAGACATTTAAATCCCCATTTTTGCAACCATGTTGCTGCACATTTGGCTCAGAATGTATTTTGAAATTCACACTGTATTTTGCTAGTTATCACGCGGTATCACGAGGAAAATGCAATCTCGAGTGTCCTACCTGTAAGTCTACATGCATTTAGGAAAAATGCCATTTAAATGATAATTTTGCTACAGTTTTTGCTTGGACATGTTAAACATATCTAATCAATTTGGGTAATACAATTTCTTTTTAATTTTGCAACTTAAGCATTAAAATATGTTTTTAATTTACATATTTTTTAAAACTAGTGTAGATAATGGCAAATGCAAATTATATAATTTTCATTTTCATTTTGCACTAAATGTTGCACATATGTATGGGAAAATGTACATTTAAATACAGAAATACATTGTCATTTTGCATATTGCATTTCAAAATGAATTTTGCTACCCGTATGCTTCCAAATCCAAATGGATTATTTTTCTATTTGAAGCCCAAAGTAATAAAAAAGTTTAAAAAAAATTCTGAAAACGAAAATTCTGATTTGCGAATAAAAAAAGTCTGAATTGAAAAAAAACTTATTTTTCTAACTCTATTGACAAATGTAAATTCGCTACATTTTAAAACATTTTTCAGAAGACCAGACTTAATATCTCAAGTTCTTTTGATTTGTAACGAATGTTAACATGTCAGTGGTTGCTAACATTTGTTCTGTCATAAAATCACCACCTTTTCTTCATTGCTGACCACAGGATTGACTTGATCACATTCACTGCTGGTTTTAAATGTGCTGGTCACCCCAAAACGTTTGGTGTGCATGTTCTTCATGAAACCGAGCTTTCTCTCCCGTCTGCAGGTTTGGTCCCGGTCTGGTCATCTACTGGTACGGGTTCGTATCTGAGCTGGACTGCCAGCGGGGCCGAGGGATCCTGCTGAGAGACGGCTTCCCCTCGGACATCGTAACCCTGAGCCGAGTCTGACCCGTCACGGGGCCGTGATGTGAGTCCGGAAGCAATTTATCTTTCCTGCAGCGTGAGACTCCTGGCCAACATCTGCTGTGAACTCCGGCTGAACCCCGGCGGCTCGGATCCTGCTGAGAGACAGTAACACACGTCACTCTTATCTGCCCTCGGAGCTCCGGACAGCCGAGTTCACTCAGAGACAGCCGCGGATGCTGGTTTGTGATTGCTTGTGTTCAATAATAAAGTTGTGAGTTCTTCATATATTCTGTCTATTAAAGTCGAGTCCAGAGTGACGCTCTCCAAAACGTCCTCTTCCTCTCTGAGCCGAGGAGAGATCTCAAGAGCTTCCTGTCTGTGCACTATTAACCCCGCCACGCATGACGCATGAAATACAGTACAAAAACAATGAAATGGAACAGTTCATTCAACCTTTAAACTACATTTTTTATAAAAAGTTTGCGTGTGTGTTTTATGTTTTGTATCGTATTTGATGCATCTGATACAGTGAGAATATGGAGGAAAAAGCAGCTCAGTTTTATTCAGAGACTCAAATTAAGCAAAAATATGCAATTTGGTGCAAATTCTGATATGTATATGGACAAAAAGTAGATACTTACATAAAATGCATGTAAATCAGTGGTCGCTCTATATCTCCAGTAATCTCAGTAAGATGAGATGTAAATGCTCCAAACATATAATGCAGTGATTGAGAGCTGAAGAAATAAAGGCTCCTCAGAAGATGTGAGATGTTCTGGAGGCTTGTGAAGATCATTCCTCCGCTGAGGAACAGTGAAAGTAAAGCTTCTGGAAACAAACGCTCCTCAAAAGATCCTGAGGATCAGATTTGAGACTCTAAAACATGATTGATGGAGAATCAAGTAAAGCTGAGCTGCTTCAGTCCAGTAAGTGTTCATCTGGAGATATTACTGCAGTTATTCTGACCTTTACTTGATCAAAATCAGTCAAGATCTGACACGAGAAGCAGCAGCTGAAGCTGGACGTTTGTACAATTACACTAAAAGAACTTTGACTGGATAAAACACTCTAAACTATCGATCAGAGACAGAAGACATGAGGAGATTGTGTGAGAAACAGGTTTAACAGCAGAGTTTGATCATGTCAACAACTGATACTGCAGGCTTTACATTGTTAAATTACTATATATTGTGTTATTATTATATACATATAATTTATGTATTAGTTATTTTTATTTATTTTTTACTTTATTCGTTTAATTTTTGGAGCTTGACAGACAGTTGTGTGTTTTCCGGTACACAGATCTAGAACATAATGCTTAGTGTTTGATTCTGTTTGGTTCTTTTTCCCTTTAAATGACTATTTCAAGATAAATGTAACAATATACATGTATTTAAGTGCTGCAGTTAAAGCTGAAGCTGTCGTTGAAAGCGCTGCTCTGACCGGACAAACCCTGAGAGGAATGACATCATGACGCGCGTCTCTTCCTGTCTGCGCAGGAAGTGCAGTGTGAGGTCATAATAAACGGAGACTCGCGGTGACCTCTGACCTCATGATGCTAGGTTTGACCTCTGACCTCTCTGAAATCTCTCTGGCTGCGTTCACAGTGGAATATTGTATGTGGCCGTTCACATCTGATCCGATATCGAAGATGATGTAAATGAAAGATCAAGTCGTTGTGAGATGCAGTACGTGTAACGCAGTGTTTGAAGTATGCATACTATATACTGCAGGAATAATGTTAGTATGCCGCTGGAGGAGCTTCACATAAAGCACACTCATGTGTTGTCTCTCTATAAGGTCGTTATGAAACGCAATAGAATTGTGCTGAATGAAAAACCAAAGTCAAATCTGAGACGCGTTTCCATTTGTGCTGATCTGTTTCACTGCATGATTTCAGAATTAAGCCAATTAAACTTGTCTGTCTGTTCCTGTAGAACGCACATGCGGTTGGAGCTAAAGCAGATCATGGATGATGTTGATGTTGATCTGATGCGTTTTTAAGTGATTTTATGGAGCGGTTTGTGAGATTCTGTCTGTGGTTATTCCAGCCTGACTCGTTAACGGAGAGCGTCTGTGTGTCTCAGGTCGTCGTATAAGGACTGTAACACTCTTCACCTGCCGATGGAGCGCTTCTCTCCCGTCAGACGCTTCTCAGACGGAGCCGCCACCATCCAAGCGTTCAAGGCCCAGCTGGAGAACAACAGCCTGATCCGACAGCTCAAACAGGTGCTGACGCGCAAACACACGCGTGACACTGGTCATGTGACGTGTGCGCTCGCTCAGTGACGTGTGTGTGTGTGTGTGTGTGCAGGAGTGTGAGCAGCTTCAGAAGATGTACGCGGCTCCGCAGGACGAGCGTCTGAGGGAGCACACACAGCAGCAGCACATTCTCTACCAGCAAATACAGGTCCGGCTCGCTCCGCATGCTCAACACTTCACTTTCTTCTTACATTTTCACTTTACTTAAAGTTTGTCATTTTGGGTTTTTTATTTCAGTTTTAGTTATTTTAGTACATCAAGAGTTAATTAAAAATAGCTAAATGAAAAATGTTTTGGAGACTAGAAAAAGGAGACACATTATGCCACTTTTTACAATATGTAATATAAGTCTCTGGTGTCCCCAGAGTATGTCTGTGAAGTTTCAGCTCAAAATACTCCACAGATCATTTATGTCTGTGCCTATTTTGAGTGGAAGCAGAAACACGCTGTTTTTCGTACCCGTCTCTTTAAATGCAAATGAGCTGCTGCTCCCCGCCCCCTTTTTCTAGAATAGAGCTGTGCCATTACAGCTCGGACCTGCTAAAAACATCTGTTTTGGTTCTGATTATCATGTTTATCGCGCTGAAATCATGCGTTTTAAATCATATGAGTTTAAACTTCTGATATATGGTTTTCTGAGCGCACACAACCTGAAGCACACGCACAGAAAGCGGCTGTCACAGCATGTGAGCACTAAACTAAGCTCTCATTCACACACAAGTTTACCTTAAAAACACATGAGTCACAAAAACAGTGGGTTATGTCTGTGAAGGTAAACAGCTGGGAAATAAATCGCATGTTTATTTTAGATCTGTGTGGCAGCAGCAATATACAGTAAATAAATCAATAAATCCACCCGTTTAAAAAGTGTGATTTCTAGACCTGGAAAAGTCATTGAAATGAATTAAACCTTTAAACATCATGGGCATTTTATTAACAAATATAAATTTTTCTAGTAATGCCAAACTTTATCAGACTGAAATGGAGTAAATAGTGTTTCAAGTCCTGATCCAGTGAATCGTGAACGACTGCAGAAGTCATGCAGATTCATTGGTTGTAAAGAGCAGAGAGAACATCCAGCTCTGCTGCAATCCTGACATTTAGTTTCAATTATATTTTAGTGACTTGTTTTAATAAATGTACACTCTACTTTCCTAGTCATTACAGCAGATTAACAAGAGGCCTAGGAATATTTTTGTGGATGGTGGAGTCAAAAAGGTTTAAAGTGCGGTTAAATACACAAACACACATTCCTGACTGTAACTATAAAGGGATCATGATATTGTTGACTTTCTGTTTGCAGGCCCTGTCTTTGGGACATGGAGAAAACCAGCCCAGCAGTCACCTGACATACCAGCTACAGAGGTGAACACACACACACACTCACACACGGTCACACACTCTCACACACACACACACACACACACACACACTCTCCACACACACACACAACACACACACTCTCTCACACACACACACACAACACACACACACTCTCACTCACACACACTCACACTCTCACACACACACACAGATCTTCATCGTTGTGCTTCTGTCTCTCTCAGGTTGCGTATTCAGCCCTCCAGTCCTCCTCCTTCGCATCCCAACAACCACCTCTTCAGGCCAGCCAATCAGAGTCCTCCGGGGAGTCAGGGGATGATGCAGGCACACGGTCAGTGTGGGTCAGCGGGAGGGAGCTGTCGTGTGATTGACATGCAGTCGCTCGTGCCGTTGACATGTTAAACTCCTCCCACAGGCGGGCCGTCTGCGGTTCAGTTTCAGCATGGCTCCGCCCTCTACCAGTCTCCTAGCGACAGCCCTCCCCCCACCAGCCTCCCCCGCATGGCGCTGCCCAATCAGCAGCCTCCGCCAGGCTCCGCCCGCTCACTAGCGCAGACCCTCCCACAGCAGCAGCAGCAGGTGACCATTCAGGTGCAGGAGGTGGAGCTCGGGGGCGGAGCCCAGCGGCAGGGTTTCCTAGCAACACCGCCTCACAGAGTTCTGGGGAAGCAGCTGAGCGCAGATAACGCGGAAACACACAGGTGATGCGAGCGCCGCGGAAACGCTTGACGCTCTGTTACGCCGCGATTATTGTGTCCTTTTAATTTGTTTAGTGCTTTTTGGTTGTTATAAAAAAAAAATCTAATTATTTATTGTTTTTATGTTCTTGTAAATTTGAATCAGTGCTGTTTATGTTTGTTTAAATGCAGTTCAGCATGTTTAGTGTTTGTAGATGTTTTGAATGAATCTGTTGTGGAAATGATTTGTGTAAATATTGAGAGATTCTCCCAGACGACAGTATATCAGTCCAGACGATTGACCGCCGGCCGTTTGAGGTACTTGCTGGTGAAGGCCAGTGCTAGCGGTAGATGTGTGTCCTGTCGCGTTCACTGGAGAGCACTCCGAGTCGGTCTGAGCTCCAGTGGATTAGAGACGGGATGATGATTAGATGCTCAGTGCTGTTATTAGATGAGAGCAGTGATTCCCAACACTGAGCGCTTCACCGGGAACAGTGCTGAGAACCACTGGATTCACACAACCCACATTTTGGATATCAGTGTTATGTATTTTAAAGTCAACATGAAATCAATATTCAGTGTAAAAAAAAAAATTCTTTGCCAACAGCTGGTGCTTTTTACTGTAAATTTCAATGTTTTAAGTTTCACAGATTGAACTTAAATTTACAAATAAAAAACCTTCACTGAAATAGTGTTAATATACCAAATTACTCAAATCTGTTTTGTAAAATACTGATAAACACTGTAAAGTGGTGAAGAGAAATCACATGATGAGCTGTCACACAGAATTCTGGGAATGTCATTTTACATTTTTTCAGTCAATTATAAGATGATTTGTTCTTTTTCACTTCTAAAAACTACATTACAGTATTTTACTCTAAAATTACATGAAATCCCATTAGACGTAACCAGTGAACACGTCTTTACTAAAGCGTGTTTGCAGTCTGTGATCATTTTTGCATTGTTGGCATTCTGTAGTGTATGAAAAATCACATTTGTTTTCACAGTCTTTCATCAGAATGTAATAATGCTGCTGTAGGCAACTAACCCTGATGTTAACCAGTAGTCATCTAGCTGTTTAGCTATGGTCAAATCAGTTCTAAAAGCTAGTTAATGTAATCGGGACACATCCCGATCAGATCTGAAACACCATCACATTCCATTAGGGCTGGAAAAATGTCTGAAAAAGTAAACTTAATAATAATATTCAAATTGTAAAGACACTTTATTTTAAAGGAGAAAAAGTACTGTATTTTCTCCTAAGCCCACAAGAGGGCGCAATTAGCGAATATAAACCAAATCAAGCACCGCATTTTTTTTGATCTAATAACATGACTTTGTTTAAAGTGCTTAACATTTCTAACAAACATTCATAAATCAAATTTAATTTCCTAAATTTGCACACAGAGAAATTGAGGTAAAGATGAAGATGCATCAGTAATATGATAAAACAGACGCTTCAGCAGACAGTGTAATGTATTCACTCTGTTTCTCCACCATTTTCAGAATTAATTCCGCATCTGATGGGTTGGATAGGCTAACAAAAACTACGTCGTCATCATGTCTCACGCCTCCTGACATACCAAAAATTTTGATGCACAGCTTTTGCATTTCAATGTGTTTTTTTTTTTTAATTCAATGAATATTTTAAATTTTAACTAATTTGACAGTGTTTCATGTTGACTTTAGAACTCTCAGTGTTAGAGGGGTGGAGTCAGACTCCTAGACTCCTCCCATATAGTGTTAGTAGATGGTGTGGTTATGCTAATTAGAGTCTGTTATCTCACAGTCGTTCTCGTGTTTGATTGTGTTGCAGTCGCAGTTTGAGTCGCTTCCACACTTCCACGTACGAGCAGTTTAACCCGCACATGTTCGGCGAGGGCGGTGTGAGCGGCGTCATCGGCACTTATAACCCCTACCTGCAGGGGGTGTCTCTGAAGGTGCCGGGGCTGGAGGGCTATCAGGGCTATCCGTCTGCACTGCAGCAGGCTCTGCTCTCTCCCACGCCGCTGGAGTATCGTCCGGTCCAGCAGCACGTCACGCCGACCCTGCAGGGGCTGCTCTCGCCGCGGCACTCGCTCACGGGACACACCGACCCCCGCCTGCCTCCGCAGGACCTCGCCGCGCTGCTCAAACGCCAGAGCCTGCACCCGGCCCCGCCCACAGCCACGCCCACCAACCCGCAGGACTACGGAGAGATGCTGCTGCTGCAGCAACTGGGCCAAGCCGCCGAGAGCTTAGAGCCCGCCCCTCCGCAAGCCCCGCCCACACAGCACTACCATCACCTGCTCCAAATCAGGACCCCGGCCGAGTGCCCCGCCCCGCCCCTCCCTCACTCGGAGAGCATGGAGGAGGACGATGAGATGCCGGCCTATCACGAGGGCCTGCTGGCCAAAGCCGCCGCCCCCTGCACTGAGGGACAGGAGCTGCTGGCTCCGCCCCCTGGCAGCACGCCGCCATACTCCTCCCCCACACACAGACACGCCTACATGCACAGCACCACGGCAGCCAGAGGTACTCCAGCACTCACAGCACATTCACACGCACATTTACTCTGTTTCAGTGTGTTTGCTTACAATATTGCCAAAGATTTAAACACAAAACAAGTCAAATTCATTTATATAGTGCTTTTAATAGGAGCTTTACAAAAATATACAATATAAGAATGACAAATGACAAAAAATAGCATTAAAATAAGGTGCTATGTAATGAATAAAAATATTTATATTCTATTTCAAGTAAATGCTGTTCTTTTGAACTTTCTATTCATCTGTGAATCCTGAAAAATAAAATGTATCAGTTTCCACAAAAATATTGTGCAGCACAACTGTTTTCAACATTGATAATAATCAGAAATGTTTCTTGAGCAGCAAATCAGCATATTAGAATGATTTCTGAAGATCATGTGACACTGAAGACTGGAGTAATGATGCTGAAAATACAGCTGCACATCACAGAAATAAATTACAGTTTAACACATATTCACATAGAAAACAGCTGTTTTAGATTATAATAATATTTCACTATTTTTACTGTATTTTTGATCAAATAAATGGAGCCTTGGTGAGCAGAAGAGACTTCTTTAAAACACATTAAAAAGTCTTATTTAATTATTTAAATCAGCATAATATATATAACAAATATAACTGTGTTGTATAAAAACTTCCCTGAAGAAGTGTGTATCATATCAAAGTGAAGAGTTTTGTGGGTTAATATGCTCATGAAAATAATGTTGCAATGCAAACAAAATGAAATCAGTGTATTCTTCTGTTGATTGTTGTTTATTTGCGCTGCTGGTGTTGAGTGTGTCGTTGTGTCTCAGAGGCGTGTGCTGAGGCTGCAGAGTGTCGGGTGATGGAGGGAGATCATAACGGTTACAGCTCATGCGCCGCGCAGGGAGACACTTACAGACCGCGAGCATCATTACAGAGACACCACACCATCCAGACCTGCGACGATGCTTACGTGAGTGAGTGAGTGAGTGAGTGTGTGTGTGTGTGTGTGTGTGAGAGTGTGAGAGTGTGTGTGTCTTTGTGTGTGTGTGAGAGTGTGTGTGTGTGTGTGATGCAGCTCCAGCGCTGACCTCTTGACCTCCTCTTCCTGTAGGAGCAGGTGGAGCCCATGTCTGGAATGAGCTTATTGGCTGGGAAGGTGCTAAGCTCCGCCCGCATGTCAGACATCCTCAGCCAATCATCTCTGACAGGAAGCCAGCAGCTGCAGCAGAGGGAGGGGTCAGGTGTGTAAACGCACACTACAGACACACACACGTGTGCGCACTCACTGACGGAGTTGTGTGCGTGTTTAGCGTGTGACGTGGAGGCAGACGTTCACCCCGCCACGTGTTACCCGTCCTCCTGCACCAGTGACATGCTGCTAAGCTACAAAACCCCCGATCTGCAGTACAGCGTGGAGCAGGCCGGGGTCTAATGAACACAGGTACGACACTCACACACACACACACTCACACACACGCACGCACACTCTCTCACACGCACTCAGACACACACACACGCACGCACACTCTCTCACACGCACACTCACACACACACTCTCTCACACACACACACACACACTCACACACACTCTCACACACACACAGATACACACACACTCACACACACACATTCACTCACACACTCTCACAGACACACACACACTCACACTCACACACACACACTCTCACACTCACACACACACACTCTCCCACTCACTCATTCACTCACACACACACACACACACACACTCACATGAAGCCATACATGCACCATAAATCTTATATTCTTAAGTTAATTATCCTATCACTCAGCTCTGAACTGATCAATGTGGACAAGTAACGAATTACGAACATTAACATGATTATTTTCTGTGTATTGTGAAAAGTGATTAGACCCTATTTAAGGCCCGTTCACACAAAGGATGATTACTATGACCATAAAGATATCGTTTGAAAAATTATGCTAAATTTAAAAGAGAAGCAAAGTTCACATCTCAGCTTTAATGATGATGACACAGAGGAGCCAGATCGTTGGAAACACTTGCAGCATGATGTTTTCCAGCTGATGAAAGATTAAAAACATCAACAACCAATCAGAATCCATCTGGATTTAAAGGTGCGGTGTGTAATACTGACAGCTAGTGGTTAAAATGGGCACTGCAGTCTAAATTCAAAATATCGGAGAGAGTTGTTTCTCCCATTTCTCTCCTCAGACTCAATGCTCACACGGGTTGTCAGATTGAGGACACAGAACAGAAATGAGTGTGATTAACAATGAACACTTGATGAGTTGATTTATCTGTGTTTAATATTCCTCTGCTCGTAGAGCTTTTTTGATGTACGCCGAGGCTTTTTAGGTCGGGTGGAATCTGGCATCCCTGACTCTGTTCATTTGCTGGCAGTATGCTGTGTTTTCACCAACTGGCAACCCAGGGTGTTGAAATACTATTGGTTAAACTGTCAGTGGGCGGAGTCACACAGACCGAAACAATAACACATTCCACCACGGCATGCTTCAAAGCAGAATAACTGACTGTAGTGTTGTTTCTCTGAGAACTTAGCTTGGCTGGCAAATATTTCATGTTTTAGTATTTTTATGCTTTAGTACAGTCAAAAAAATTACATAAAGCAACAAACGACAACTGCAGCATGCTTACAATAAGCAGAACATGATGGTATGCTGGTGATATAGTAATCGTTCTCGGTGTGAACGGGCGTCAGCACGGTTCGGTCTGAAACTTTAATGCGTGTTTGTGTGTTTTTCTCTCTCAGGGGTGTATTTGCTGTATAAAGCTCATATCCGTCTGCTGTGTTGTGCTGTCATGCCAAATCCTCATCGTCTGTCTGTCGGGGTGCCGTGGGTGTGGCCTGCACGCAGGGGGCGGAGCTCTCGGCTTCCTCTTCCGTGCCGCTGGGAGTGTCTCTGATTGGCTGCAGCCCCTCCCACACCCCAAGCCCCTCCTACCGTTGCCATAGCAGCGCTTTTGCCACTCCGATGTACAAGGCAAACACAGAGTCTTATGTAAACACACACACACACACACACACACACGAAGAGACGTCATTACCAAACGCCACAAACCCAAAGTATTTCACGTGAAGCCTGCGCTGCGGCGGATCATTCCGGTCACGATCGACCCCTTCCGCCGGGACAGCCGACTTTCACTCGCTCTCCACTTTTGTTTTTATTTTTAACGCATTTTTATGGCTAATGTTCTGTAGGAATTATGATCATCATTATTCTTGTTTTCTGTAAAAACGTTATGACATTATTAAAAGAATGCCGATTATTATTAAAACCGTTCTATGTTGCAAGAGAACAGCCGCGTTTGTTTCCTCACGGTGATTTTTGCACTTTCAGTTTTTGTGACTTGCTTTTCCTCCCTGTTTCTTGTTCTCCTTCATTCCGTCCGTCCGTCCGTCGACAGGTGCATTGTGGGTAGTTTAACAGATCCTGTACTGCCCACAGATGATCTTCTTTTATGTTTCAGAGCTTTATCGGTTATTTTTTGTGGATGTTGTTGGGAAAGCTTTTGTATATTGTTGATTTTGCGGTTTTATTTCTGTTCTGATGTCATGTCGATGTTTTTAGCCAAATGTACAGACTGACGGACAGACGCTTCGTTTCACGTCTCTCTGAGTTTAAAGCCCTAACGCGCCGATATTGGACAATTTCTGCCGCTGTTTCATCTTCAGTCTGACCAATCCAATAACTGTCATGTGATCGTCTGAGAGACGGGTGCGAGTCTATGATGAAGAGCACCACCATCCTCCTCATCCTCCGTCTGTCCATCATGTCTCGCTCCTCCCTCTTTTCCTTTATTGAGCTTCGTCATTTTCTTCCAGGTTTTTTTTTGGTTGTTTTTTTTTTTGCTGTTTTTGGTAAAAATACTAAAGTGTAACAACAATGGTTAAAAAAAAGATTCCAAATAAACTGAGAGAAATAATAAATATATATAAATAAAGAAATGAATATGACAGAAGTGAGTGTGAGTGTGTTCTTTCAGAGCGCGGCCAGACGGTAATACCGCGGTATCAGACGGTAATACCGCAGTACCGAAGCTCAGCTGGAGATCGTGAGCAGATCAGTCTGAATCTGCGTCAGAACCAGAAAACAGCTTCATGATGCTCTACATGTCCACCAATGTGTTTATGAAGCACTTTTGCGAATGTTATTTATGCGACTGCAGCTGCTTTACAGCTGAAACCGAATTGGTTTCATAACTGATGATTTTTTTCATTGTTATTTTCCTGTATATTGTTTTAGATTACTCTGAACAAACGTTCTGTTAATATTACTTGGAAGAAAGTTTGTTGATCATTTACAAAACCTCAACAGATCGTTAGTCAAAGTTAGAATGAGAGATGCTTTGAATAAAAGTAGCTCGTTCCTTAAGTTAGCGTTACCAGCTTCATCTCGGGGCAGATTCTGAAGTTCAGAAGGGAAACAGCTTGTTATCACGCAGTGTTTTTGTACGCATGCAGCTCTGGGTTTTTTCTTCCTCATCGTGAGCTCTGTGTGCAGCTGCTCGTGTCTGAATCTGCACTGCAGAGGCTCCGCAGACCTGACGAGTCGAGCTCAGATCTGACGGTTATACTGCGTTTGGATTAGTGATGGATATTTTGATTCTTTCAAGAGATTCGTTCATTTTCAGTTCGTTCACCAAAATGATTCGTTCAGATTTGTTCACTTATTCCTTCAGTGACCATTTCTTCATATTACATAAATACGCCAGCAGGTGGCGAAAAAGAGTGTCTTATCTGTTATGTCTTAAAGGGGTCATATGATGCTGCTAAAAAGAACATTATTTTGTGTATTTGGTGTAATGAAATGTGTTTATGCGGTTTAAGGTTCAAAAAACACATTATTTTCCACATACTGTACATTATTGTTTCTCCTCTATGCCCCGCCTTTCTGAAACGCGTCGATTTTACAAAGCTCATCGGTCTGAAAAAGCAAGGTGTGCTGTGATTGGTCAGCTATCCAATGCGTTGTGATTGGCCGAATACCTCAAGCGTGTGACGGAAATCTTACACCCCTACCATACTGTTATGATGCCCTGTCAGGCCGGAGCGAGGAGACAAAAACATGAAAACCCATTACAAACGAGGCATTTGTTGCATCCAGTGGGGACATAATTACGGATTATAATGACTTATACTGTCATTTTACGCGTTGCGTTGCATTGCGCCACGTAAACATAAAACCATGTCTGCATTTGAGAAATGACAAACAACAAGCACTACTCTACACTGCCCAAAAAAACTAGCTTTAAATATATAAAATATAAAAAACGTACTTACAGTCTGTGAGTCAGAACAGCCGCATTGTAGTCTACTCTACCAGGATCAGGAAACAGTCCTCATTAAAATGCGCTGGACACATCTGAATATTTGGGTTGAACTGTTCTGGAACAGTGTTGTAAATACAACGTAACCACTGATTTGTAGTCGTGTCCTCTTTTGGAAGACCAAACAAAGTAGTTTCGCTTTCACAACGAAAAACACAGCGGCCTACCGTGTGCGAAAGCCCCGGCTTAGCCTGAGCTGAAGCCGGGCAAGAGTGAGCTGAGGCGGCGGGGTCGAGAAAGGCGCGCTCGGCGGATCCGACGAATGAGCGGCAACCACATGTGACGACCCCAGGCTGGACTCCGCTTCGTCCAC